CGAAGCTACTTGACTTCATCATAAAAAAAAAAAAAATTTATTTATTCCTTCTCTTTCTAGCTTGTACTTATTTGAACAATGTCTAAGAACTTGGTATTACAACCACTTCTTGTGTCTGTTTGCCTCTTTAAGAAGAATCGCTTTATGTATCCCCCAATTGTAAGTCGCTTTGGATAAAAGCGTCTGCTAAATGACTAAATGTAAATGTAAATGTAAACAGTGAGAGACAGAATAACAACAACAACAACAACAAAACAAATCCAGAAAAACGCATTTTTAAAAAAGTTATAAATTGATTTGCATTTTAATGAGTGAAATAAGTATTTGATCCCCTATCAATCAGCAAGATTTCTGGCTCCCAGGTGTCTTTTATACAGGTAAGGAGCTGAGATTAGGATCACTCTCTTAAAGGTAGTGCTCCTAATCTCAGTTTGTTACATGCATAAAAGACACCTGTCCACAGAAGCAATCAATCAATCAGATTCCAAACTCTCCACCATGGCCAAGACCAAAGAGCTGTCCAAGGATGTCAGGGAAAAGATTGTAGAGCTACACAAGGCTGGAATGGGCTACAAGACCATCACCAGGCAGCTTGGTGAGAAGGTGAAAACGGTGCGATTATTCGCAAATGGAAGAAACACAAAATAACTGTCAATCTCCCTCGGTCTGGGGCTCCATGCAAGATCTCACCTCGTGAGGTTTCAATGATCATGAGAACGGTGAGGAATCAGCCCAGAACTACACGGGAGGATCTTGTCAATGATCTCAAGGCAGCTGGGGCCATATTCACCAAGAAAACTATTGGTAACACACTACACCGTGAAGGACTGAAATCCTGCAGTGCCCGCAAGGTCCCCCTGCTCAAGAAAGCACATCTACAGGCCCGTCTGAAGTTTGCCAATGAACATCTGAATGATTCAGAGGAGAACTGGATGAAAGTGCTGTGGTCAGATGAGACCGAAATCGAGCTCGTTGGCATTACCTCGCTGTGTTTGGAGGAAGAGGAATGCTGCCTATGACCGCCCCCCGGAAAAACACAACCCCCATCGTCAAACATGGAGGTGGAAACATTATGCTTTGGGGGTGTTTTTCTGCTAAGGGGACAGGACAACTGCACCACATCAAAGGGACAATGGACGGGGCAATGCCGTCAAGACCAGGGAATTGAAGCCAGCCAGGGCATTGGAAATGGGTTGTGGATGGATATTCCAGCATGACAATGACCCAAAACACATGGCCAAGGCAACAAAGGAGTGACTCAAGAAGAAGCATATTAAGGTCCTGGAGTGGCCTAGCCAGTCTCCAGACCTTAATCCCATAGAAAATTTGTGGAGGTAGCTGAAGGTTCGAGTTGCCAAACGTCAGCCTCGAAACCTTAATGACTTGGAGAGGATCTGCAAAGAGGAGTGGGACAAAATCCCTTCTGAGATGTGTGCAAACCTGGTGGCCAACAACAAGAAACGTCTGACCTCTGTGATTGCCAACAAGGGTTTTGCCACCAAGTACTAAGTCGGGGTCAAATACCCAAATAAAGCGAAGGGGTCAAATATTTATTTCACTCATTAAAATGCAAATCAATTTAAACTTTGGCCTTTTCCAAAAGCTTCTCTTGTTTGCGTTGTGCTTTCCAAATCTCGTTTTGCCTTTTCAGTTATCCAGCCTTGTCTTCAACCATGTAGACACAAACCACTATTGCAACACTGAGTGGATCCTTCAGGTGGGTCCCAATCTGACGAAGGAAGAGCAGCTTAACCTGACTCTGCCCAGGCTCCCAGATGGCTCTTTTAGTCTCTGTCAGACATATGTCAGCCTGTGGATTGGGATTTGTCTGCTATCCGGGAATACGGCCTAAATGAAATCACCACATGCACTGATGGATGGGTGCATAATGATACTATTATGAGGCAACCATTGTCACCAATAAGTACTACCACTGGTGTGTTTCAAATAAACATGTTGAAAAGGTAACGGGTTTAGTTACCAGTATATTTGAAAACATTTATGCTATGACTATGATCACACCACAATGTAATGACCTCACTTTGAGCTGATTTAGCAATAGCAGTTTACATCGAGAAAGACTTCATGAATGCTTGATATTTTTGTGATATTTTGCAGTTTGAACTTACATGTGACAATTCAAATTTATTTCAGGGAGCACTGACAATATTCTTTGCTGGAGTACTTGCTGGAGTTGTAGATTTTGGGCCTTTTTCAGAATCGTAAGTATTGAAAAACTTAAATACTGCAATACAATATCAATACTGATACTATGTACTTTAGATTAAATACAGAATAGATAATTTTAAGGTGTCCTTGTCACAGTGTAATTACACAAATAAGTACTGAGTAATATTAATGTTAGAATAAGATTTGGTTTAAGGTTAGTTTCTTGTAGTCATGCATAATTTACTCTAGTAAGTACATGTAATGTTTAACAAGGGCACTGTAAAACAAAGTGTTACCTAGATGTCTC